GGCGCCACAGCGGGTGCCGGGCTGGGTAGGCCTGTCGCGATGCCTCCGGCAGCGTCCGGCAGCTGCGACGGCGGCTCGTTCAGCAGCACCGCGGAGTGCTGTACGGTGGCGTTGTACAGCTGCGCCGCCTCAGCGGGGCCGCGGCGGGCCGCCAGCGCCGCCAGCAGCGTCCCTGCGCCGGTGCCGCCGCGTGTTGAGTCCCCAGGTGTCCCAGGCAAGCTTGAGTCCCACATGCCCACCACATCGGGCACGGAAAAGGAGGTGGGAAGCTCGGGGCTGGGGATAGCCACCAGGCCGCCAGCGGCGGCGGCGGCGCCGCCGTCAGCGCCGGCCGCGACGCTGTTGTCGTCCAAGTTACCGTTACCGGTCTCCGTTGAGATTGAGACAGCGCCGCTGCACTCCTCCACTACAGTGTGCAGCGGCGGGGGGTCGGTTCCGGGTTGACGATGGGGCCCTGTACGTGGATGTGGTGGTGAGTAATGGGAGAGGGGTGCGGTTGACAGTAGCCGAACGGCAGCATGGGAGGGAGAAGAAAATATGGGGTGAAAAGGAAGGCGTTTTATGTGTTATGGGGGATTCCGGGCGACTAGGTCTAACCAAGTCCTGCTGGAATCCCTCTTCCACGGGAGAGGACATGTTGAAACCCGCAGGGCCTAATTCCGCATTTCCATTCCCTAATGGAGCAAGCCTGGCGCTGTTACTTTGATGGACGCACCTTGAGGCGCTTCACTAGCGCCGCCGCCGCCGCCGCCGCCGCCGCTGCCAAGCTGCGGCGTGTTGGACCCCCGGGATATGCAGGAGGCCCTAAGAGCCGATGGCAGAGTCAGCCGTTCGTCTGTACGGCAGTCGACACCGGGACTGAGTGAACTCTTTACGCCGGCGCCACCGCCGCCGGCGCCACCGCTGATGGACGGGGTTTGCGGAGTGCCTGCCACACGCACCGGGAAGGCGGTGCGGCACACCAGAAGTCTTAAAAAAGGTACAGAGAGCAAACCCTACAGCAGCTGCCCTTACGAGTTACGAGCTACAAGTTTTGTAACTACACATCAAATGCCGTGATGGTGGTCTGCCTGTGAAGGTCTGAGGGGGCGCCGCGGGGGACTGGCACTGTAGGCACTTCAAGAACAGGAACAGCAACAGCAACAGCGGCAGTGTCAGCTCCCCCAATCGTTCCTCTTAACAAGAGACACCAACGCCGGCTCTTAGAAATGGCGACAAAGGGGAAAGGGAACAGGTCCCTGAAGCCGTCTTTTTCTCTTCAATTTCGCTTGAACAAAAGTATATCTACAGGTAAAATATACAGAGATTGTGTAATTTGAACAATCCAGTAATACACCTATAGCCCCCAAGCCCTCACCAAGTAGTGCCGCCACCTCGGGCGCATGCGGATCGATGGCCGGATGGCCGATCGGTCCCCACTGCTCCACCGCCGCCGCCGCCAGGGCAGCAGGGCCGGTGCCGGCGGCCGCCAGCGGAGCGGCCCAAACCAGGTACTCGTGAACTGCCTTGGCGTGCAGGTCGTGCGGGCGCATGGACGACAGGTGCTCCGCGACCTGCAGCGGTGTGCGACCGAGACCGTCCAACGACAGCAAATCCGCCGCCGCTCCGCCGTGCTCAACGAGGCGGCGAGCCTGGGAAGGGGGCCGTGGGGGTTAAATTAAGAGAGTTATGAGAGCTATCTGGGGATTGAGTTGGTTAGGTGGTTAGATGGGGGTACGGCGTGGTGGAACGGGTGCGTGTGGTGTCATCCACGCCTTACGTGCCGAAGGGGCAGGCCGACCCAGCTATCCGCGGGTTGACGGTAGAAGAGTACCGGCAGGCACCAACCCAGGTCCGCGGCCAAGCTCTGCTGCCTAGCCCACCCTGACCTCCGGAACGCATTTGCACCAAGTCATCCTCCGCCCTCCCTTACATACACTCTCATACACCCACACCCACACCCACACCCACACATGTGCGCACGTGTGCGCGTGCAGCACCGTTCCCGCTAATGCCCGGCGCCTCAATTTAGCGGAGTCAACCCCCATCCCGCCATTCCCAACCCCAACAGTCCAACTGCCCGATCTCAACCACCCCCGTACCACTCCCAGATGGCCGTACTCCACTGCCACGTGCAGCGGGGAGGTGCTGTCCCCCGGCTGCCGGGTCCCGGGTACCCCGGCAGCCAGAAGCGCCTCCAGCACCGTACCACTGCCCTGCTGGGCAGCTGCACGGAGATCTGCAATCAGGCTGCGCATCATCATGGGGCCTGACGAGGGACAAGACGCGGAGGTGGCGGTGGTAGTGCCCCCTGGGTCGCACAGCGCCACGCCAGCTCGGCGAAAGGCGGTCACCGTGTCGGGGTGGGCCATGCGGGCTGCCTCCATCATGGCCACGTGTGCGTGGTTCCAGAGCACCTCGGAGGGCATTCCCTCCAACAGCACCTCCACGACTTCCTGTCGGGAGTGGTGAGGAAAGAGGGAGGGGAAGGAAGAGGGGCAGACTGTTCGGACGGGCGACAGGAGGGGCGGGAGGGCGACTGGAGACGAAGGTGCGGGAGAGCTGGGCGACAGAGGAGGGGGACGACTTCCACTACCGACCAACTACCAACCAATATCAACCGCCCTTTTATATCAACCACCAACCAACCTCACCGTGTGTCCTTTGCTCGCTGCCAGCAGCAGCCCCGCAAACACACAGCCCGCCTCGTCCCCGAAGCTGTAGCCGCCCGCGTTCCGCAGCTCCGAAACCTGCCCCAACCCGCACCAAGACATGAACTCGTGCGCCGCCTGCTGCCGCTTCTTCTCCGCCGTCACGCCCGCGTCGCGCTTCTGCCGACCCTCCAAGTACGCCAACACCGGCGCGGCCCCCACTCTCCTCGCCTCGTCCAGCGCCGTGTTCCCCCAGCGGTCCTGGAAGTTGGGATCCGCGCCGCCCTCCTCCACCAGCAGCTTGACAGCCGCCAGGTTGCCCTCCGCGCCGGCGATGTGCAGCGCGGACCGCTTGTCGTAGTCACACGCATCGGGGGGGGCGCCGGAGCGGAGAAGACGACGAAGCTTTACCAAGTCGCCCTCGTACACTGCCGTACACATCTCCGCCGCAACCGTCAGGCCGCCAGCCCCCAGTCTGTGCTTGACAGGTAATAGCGGCGGTGGCAGTGTTTATCTTAGTAGTGAGGGTAATGGTGACAGCACGCATTGGATGCCGTGAATGGTATTCGGTGGAGGATTTGAACATGTTTGGCGGGTGTGTTTAGAAAAATTTAATTTCCTACCGCAGCAAGATGTACTGTACGGCAAAATTTACGCGTCGTACTACGCAGACCATAGTGCAAAGTGTACTTACGTGGCGCCGTACTTCAGCATGAGCTCGATGGTGCTGTCGTGTTCGTTTTTGACCGCCTCCGCCAGCGCCGAAATACCGAAGGCACTACGATTGTGGTGATGGTTGGCGAGGTGGGGAGTGGGATGCAAGGGCTTTCCTTAGCTGAGGCCGCCCCGTCAACTAAGAACCTGGTGGGTTTCATTGCTCAACAAGGAGAGTTCCATAGGGCGGTAGCTGAACGGCGGGGTGTTAGGGAACTGGACGAAGGGCTTGGGGAAAAGGAGAACCAGGCAGATTTCTATCTGCCTTCCTATATGGAAGCCAGATAGGAATAAGCATTATAGCATGTGTGAGTGTGATCGTGCGATTGTCTGTGTGTGTGAGAGTGTGTGTGAGAATGTGTGTGTATGTATGTCCCGGGGTAGCCCCCAGTTGCATTGAAGAGTAGGGGATTGCAGTGGGGGGAGAACTGGAGGCGATCTCTCTCGCCGTACAGCCGCCACTGAATCTCGTTCGTTTCGTTGCTCTCTTCCCAGTCCCTCCCTCCTCTTCTTCCTCGTCCACTTCCTTTTCCTCCTCGTCCCTTTCCCCTAGGTTGGTATCATATTAGGTCCCCAGCCCCTTCCCTCGTCAGGCGCACGCGACTCACTCGGTCTTGTCCTTGTCCGCACCGGCATCCAGGAGCAATTGCACCGTCTCCTGAGGGTACGACACAGGAACGGCAAGTACGACAACTGCGACATTCACTATCGGGTCGGATCTGCGATGTTGTCAACAGAGGCACAGGCGAGGGCCTGAGGTATCAGGGCAGGCTTGTCAGAAAGGGGGGCTCCAGGCCGTCTGCCCCGCCCGCCCCAGCCAAGCCGCGAAACAGGTTACTGGCGGCCACCACCGAGATCTGTTCTGTCTCACTCACATTGTGGCCTTTGGCCGCTGCCAGCATAAGGCCCGTACGGCCGTCGTAGTCCGCCGTGTTGGGGCTTATGCCCTGAGCCAGCATCGTACGAAGGGACTCCACGTCGCCTTGGGCCGCCTGATCGCACGGACAGAAATTGTTTTGGGTGGAGGAGGAGGGGAAGGAGCAAGAGGGGAAGTTAGGAGAGAAAGGGGGTTATTAGGGGGGAGCACATTGACCTCGGATTTAGTGGAACTAAAGCTACTGAAGCAGGAAATGGAACGAATTGCGGCTTCATGGGTCCGCTAAAATCTGACAGTCCGATTTATTTAGAAGATCATCATCGCAATTTGAAGAAGGACAAAACCGCTCTGTCTTTGCGGAGGGGGGAGGGAGACTGGGCGGTAAAATGCAAGGAAGGAGAAAAGTAAAGGCGGCCCCCAAAGTATCGCGTGGGGAGATCCCGAGGAACGTGAACCGCCAATACACAGCGGGGGACACGCCTGGTCCCAAAGCTCTTCTCGCCCGTCCCATCGCTTGAAACTTAAATCCACGTCCAACCCGTCCACAACATACACACACAGGCCCGGATCGATGTGTAACAGAGACACACTCACACACATACGCACACACACGCACGCACGCGCGCGATCCATTCCCAGCTCCACCCTCCCCAACCGCCAGATTCCCCGCACCCCACATCCAACGGCAACCTGCTCGGGCCCCTCCGTGGCCCTCCCAATCTCCCCCCCTCTCCCTCTCTCCCCCCCCATCTCCCCCTCTCCCTCCCCCCGGCCCGCATGATATCACCGTATTGAGGAACTCGAAGGTCCGCATCTCGTCACATTTTCGGGTATGTGTGGCCGCCACTGTACGAATATCGTCCAGGCGGGTGATCATCTCCATTTGGTGGTGAGTCAGCGCATCTGAAGTCCAGGGAGGTGATACATTGTGGGGTGTGTAGGGAGGAAGGGTTGACCAACAGGAAAATGCGCGGATAATCAAGCGTGGAATTATGAACCAGGCCAGGCAACTGACTCGCTGAGACGCTGTCAGCAAATTGATTTCTTGTGTTTCCGGTTGTCGGTTGGCTTTTGACATCGTCACTAATGACCTCGTCTTTCCCTCTCGCCTTCTCCCCTCCTGCCCGCCCCTCCCGTCTACTCTAAAACCCACCGCACGGACGGCATCCCCTGGAGCCCAGCCCTCCGTGCTCCTTACCCCACACACCAACGGCAACAACCCCAGTTCAAACCCAGCCAACCCCTCTCCCCCCATTCCGCACGGCACCTCAAGGCGGCGTGGCCAGGCTTTTTAAAAGCAGTCCTTCCACGCCAGCCCTTCCCCCTACCCTTACCTCACACCCTCTTCTCCCCCATTTTCCCCCGCCCCCCCCTTTCCCCCCTTTTCCCCCCCACCCATTACTCCCACCCACCCCGAGTCTGTGCCAGCAGTACGGGGTCCGTGGTGTCCACGAACTCCTTCCCGCTGACGAGCGACAGCGCGACATGCAGCTGCGAGGCAGTGAGCTGGTGGGCTGTGGCGGCCTGCTTTAGGTTGTCCGCAACAGCGTGCTCTGCAGCCCGCTGGACATTGAGCAG